TCACCCCACATATTCATGAATGTTCAAAATCCTGCCCCTTTTTAGTGAACAGTTTTCTAACATGTGGATCATATCCCTTGCTACAGTGCACTGAGCCCGAGGCAGCCTTGCCGTCAGGATTCAGGAGTCTCAGGATTCCATCGATGCTCTCGCTCTGCTGTGCTCTCCAGCTTCTGTGGTGTGTCTGACCCGAGAGAAAATCTCCCCCAGCGGCTGTGTTCACTTTGTACTGCGTTTTTATCCCATCACTCCGGCTGCGACGATTACTTCTCATTCCTGTCCCCGCACCAGCCTCCTGCAGCCCCTGTTTGCCCTCTGTTCTTCTTGCCTCTCCACTTCCTGTAATTCAGTAATTCCTTTCTTACTAATCTTCCAGTTCTCTGCAGGTGGTTAAGCAGACCACCAGCCTTGTTAGAATCCTTTGTAAAACAAGAAGGTCCCAGGGTTCTATAGGGACACAATGCACACACGTTAGCTGGGTAAGGACTTTGGGGCGTCTTCGTATTTTTCAAAAATATGTTCCAGGTAGGTGAGTTAACCGGACAGCTGAGTTTGTTAAAATAAAGTTAATTTGTTCAAACCAGAATCTGAATTCACCTGCCTGATGACTCTTGGTGTTTTAATTGATAAGGCACAGAACTTTCATTCAAAAAAACAATCTGAAAGAATTTTACGCTGTGAACGTTGACCACACCAGGAGGTGAAAAGCTGAATTCTGGCAGCAGCTGCACTATAGCACCTCAGCCCCCAAGCCACAGGTGCAACACCTCAGCCACCCTCCCCCCCACAGCCGCAGGTGTGTAGGGCAGTGAGGTGAGTTTCCTGGGTCCATACGGTGAAACCTCTGGGGAGTAAGCAGCACTGACTTTTATTCAGTCACTCTCCAGTCACCACGTGACAGTTCCTCTTTGGTTGTCAATGCGAAAGTAAACAAAATAGTGAAGGTCCTTTCCTTAACAAAGATAACCCCAGTTAGTGGGTGTGAGGGTTAGTTTTGTGTGTCAACTTGACTGGGCAAGGAAGTGCTCAGATATTTGATCAAACATTATTCTGGGTGTTCCTGTGACAGTGTGTCTGGATGAGATTGGCATTTGAACTGGTAGATTGAGTAAAGCAGATTGCCCTCCCTAGTGTGGGTGGGCCTCGTTCAATCAGTTGAAGACCTGCATAGAATGAAAATGTTAACCCTCCCCCCAGCTAGGGAAGATTCCTAAACTTGAACTTGCTGGCCTTCAGACTAGAACTATAACATTGGTTCTCCTGGCTCTTCAGCCTCTCAACTCACCCTGCAGATTTTGGGATGTGTCAGACCCCATAATTGTGCGAAGAATGAGCCAATTCCTTATAACAAATTTCTCTGTCTCCATACACATATATACTAAAGATAATATAATATATAACATACAGGGTGGGGCAAAAGTAGGTTTACGGTTGTTCATATAGAAAATGAAACTAGAGACAACTGTACTTGAACAGCAATAAAAATATTAAAGAAGAATACAATAATTAGTAAATAATAACACAAAAATAAACCGTGTTTCACGTACTCACAGCTGTAAACCTACTGTTGCCCCACTCTGGATATATTCTATTGGCTCTGTTTCTCTGGAAAACCCCGGCTAGTACTGTGGACAGATTCTAATGTCAAGTAATTAAAGAAAAAAAAAATAACCCCAAAGACCTGTCACTTCTTCTGCAGGAAAATTCCCTTGTGGAAGGCTTGGCTATTCACAATTTATAAAGAATTATGGATTTCACCCTGGCTGGTATAGCTCAGTGGATTGAGCCCGGGCTGCGAACCAGGCATTGCAGGTTCGATTCCCAGTCAGGGCACATGCCTGGGTTGCAGGCCATGACCCCCAGCAACCGCACATTGATGTTTCTCTCTCTCTCCTTCCCTTCCCTCTCTAAAAAATAAATAAAATCTCTAAAAAAAAAGAATTATGGATTTCTATTGACTAGGGAGAATCAAATTTCAATGTTGAAAAAATTCCAGTGCTGAGATTGTAAACTTCTGGAAGATAGGTGCTATGCCAGTTTTGCTTTACACTTCTAGTGCAGTGACTAGCGAGACAGAAATGACCACTTTTCAATGCCGCAACTTTCTCGAATGGTGATGTAAGACTGATGGCAACCAATCAGCCTTGGGAACTAGTGTTCCCAACACTAGTGTTGTCATGATTATGCAAACAAGGTAGTATATGGGGCAATCGGAAGTGGTAGAATTTCTTGATTTAAGTCCAAGCTGAATAGACATCCTTTCTTCTTGCTGATATGATGAAGAAGTGGGCTCATTCAGTATTGACCTCGGGTCCAGCTTTTTTATCTCTGTTCTGGACCCTTACCCTAGTCTTCCCTTTCTCCCTTCTAGGCTTCTTCCTAGCATCAGTGCTAAACACAAACTTCTTCTATATCTCAACTCTACCTCATCCTTGGTGGGTCTTATTTTCTATTGTCCAATAAAGGAAGGGGGTGGAGTTGTGCCTTCTCTGGCAGCCAAACATCTCAGGTCCTTGCTTTAGGCTCTACCTCTCACACCATCCACTACCCAGTGTGGACTACACAGCTCCTACCCAGAAGATGTTCTTCCATCCTGGGTGCTGGCCTCATCGTCTCTGGGGGCTGGAGCTATCTATATGGCTACACTTGCCAATTTGGAGTTTCTAGCCATTTTGTATTAGTGGCACAGGAGAAGCCAGCCTGTACTGTTGCCTTTTGCCATAAAGACGACATTAACAACCTCTTTTCATCTCTGAGCTTGAACATGGCTGAAAACACAGCAGTGCAACTTGCTCGTCACACATGGATGTAGTCTGCATTCATTAGTTTAGAAGCTTTGCTGTCATTTATGGAAATTGCCCCCGTGCAGAGCTCTGCTTCCTGTCCTTGCAGACCAGCGTGACATTTAGGCTCAATGGAGTCCCTGTCATGGGTTGCCACACAAACACTGGTGCTGTCATTTCCTGGCGGTGAACAATTACTCCGCGTTGCCTCAGGATGCTCTCCTCGCATCCTTGTGGCAGCTGAACCAGTTCTCAAAAGGCAAATGGACGGTTAGACTCAATCTCTTGGAGAAAATGGGCAAGAACAAAGCCAGTGTAGTTTGTCGGAAATAAACCTAGGAGCATCGCCACACTATTTTGATAGTACAGGAACTGGCCCCCACCCACTCCCCACTTAGCTGTCACACTCCTACACGTCTGTGACTTCCTGTCCCTTCCCTACCTAACACTATGAAGTGGGGAAGGTGACAGCAGTTGTCTCGATTTTTCCATAACCACGGACCAGCCTGGCCACATAACACCATCTGTCTACTGGGCACCACCACAAACTCTCAGCCACCCAGATAATCAGCTGTCTTTCTAGATGTTTTTCCACTGATGTGCACGGTGTTCTTGACCATAACCCTCATTTTCAGGACCTCGCTTTCTTCACTATTTACATGAATTTAATAATGACCAGTCTAAGTTGAATTCTGCATCCTTAGGGCACAAGGTGTTACACTGGTGCAAAATTAATTTCCTCAGATGCATAACGAAAATAATTAGACCTTAGTAATTCATGAAGTATCTAATATTTATTTCATGTCTAGTTTGTGTACAGCACGGTGCTATGTGCTCCTTGTGAAGGGTTAGCAACAGATTACATAGATTACTTGGGAAATTTGTGTCTTTGAAAAGTTAATAACCATAGTTATTTCATATTTTAAATGACAAATGCCTATTCAATAGTTGGAAGTTTTTAAGTAGGAATTTAAAGGTACCAAAGAGATAAAAAGTGAGTGACTTCATTCAGATTTCAGGCTTTGGAAGGACTAGATACCCTGTTGGTAAGAAACAATGAAGCTTTTTCTCTCTCGTATTCCCCCCTGTGTAAGTGAAATAAAGACAACAGTTAGAATCTCTAATTTCACAGGCCTCTGAATTCTATTCTGTGCATACGGCCACAATTAAATGATTTCTGAATTTTTTGTTGCTTTCCCTTTGGCACCGAGTCTCATTTTGCCAAGTATCCTAACAGCAGAGAATTCGTTTCTGTGGGCCAATACATTTGTGTTGAGCAGACGCAGCTCTCTCCTAATAACCCTCCTATCTTCACACTAGTGGTTTTTAAATTGTGCAGGATTTTAGAAACACCATAACCTCAGCATATTAAATATTAAGGGGCTCCAGATTCCCAGAGCCTTAAAGTTAGGCGGTGCAAATCTGCACGAGTGTTTCCATGGCGCCGAATAAAAGTTACGGCAGGGTTTTGTGGAGCAGCATTACTGTGCGCGCGTCACTCCTGCCACTGCCTTTCACAAGGGCCCACTTACAGTGAAATATTTTGAAAACAGAGCTGAAGTGGAGATAACGCAGAGCGCGAACAGGCGGAAATAAGAATAAACTGAGCGTGTCTGGCAGAAAGCGGGAGGTTGGCAGTTTCTGCAAAGGAAGAGGATGCGTGGTAAACAGGGAGGGAAAAAACCACCCGGGGACCGTTCTTTAGAGACCTCTTGAGGTCGTTTTCCTCGCCCCTCGGGTTGGGGGAGGTCCCCAGGGCTGAGGAAGCAGCCCCCCCAAAACCGTTTCCGGGCCTGCAGCCTCTCCCCGCACACCCCCAGGGAGCAGTGCCTTCTCAGGCCACGATTCCTCGCGACCCAAAAATAACTGCACAGATGTAAGGAAAAGGGCCAAAGCCTGCGGCACGGGGGGCGGGGGGAGGTGCTTAGCTACAGCCTTATCGCTGACAGCCAGAAAGCTGGAAACCTAACCCAGCGCCAGGCTTTTATAGAGGGTCCCTGGAGCCCCGCCCTAGCAACTTCCCCTAGCAACGCCTCGCCCTGGTGCTCCGCGGTCTTATCGGCCTTCTGCAGGCTCTTCCGGTTCCCCTCCCGCTGCCAGCACGCCTCCGCGGCCCCGATCACGTGGCCGGCCTCAGGGGAGGGGCAGGGCAAACGGGAGACCCGGGGGCGGGGCGATGACGCAATCAAGAGGCGCCAGTCTAGTCGTGGCGCTTAGACACCGAGAATCTCAGTTTCCGGGACTTGGTGAAATGGCGGAGGCGGCGGCTCTGGTGTGGGTTCACGGTCCCGGCCTCGGGTGCCGGGCGGTGCGGACTTCCTTGGTCCCCTGCTCCGTCCGAGATCTTATCCACCGCCATTTCCAAGATCAGGTGAGATTCGCGGTTCTGGGAAGGAAGGGGAAAGAAGGGGACAGAATTGGGTGCGGAGAGGGACTGTTCTTGGAGGTTTTCGGTTTTTCAGGCTGAGGGCTCATGAGTTTCAAGGTGCTTCAAACTGATGCTGAGGCCTTCCTTTGTTTTGGGGTGATGGTTGTTTTGTCATCTCACAGAAAGGGGGAAAACTCCACTCCCAGATGCCTAGTCCAGCCTTCAGTCTGGCGTAACAGTTAACACTTTGGTATTGTTTTTTTTCTCACCTGTAAATGAGGCAGCTGGACCAGATGACTTTCAAGGCTCATTTCCTTACATTTCCTTACATTCATTCTTTGGTTATGTAACGTGCATTTTGTCCACTGATCAAACATTCCATTTAGCCTAGAGAAGTATGTGATATCCAAACCCAGGCGAAAGGGTGGTAAACGAGGGGAGTGAATTCATCTGGTCATTCACTGGTCGGGGCGGCCAAACACACACACGTGACCTGTTGAGGGCACTGGTTCTTAGGGCCTGTCATTTGGACGTTTTCACGAATCATTTGATGGTGTCATTTGTCCATGCATATTTTTGAAAACCTGTCATGGACTTGCAAAGTTACGTGTGTAGTTTCCTTAACTGTCAAGCAAGCCAACTTGTACGGACTAAAATATTAGATAATAAACCCGTTCAGTTATCTAAAGAATTGAGCGGTCTCCCTGAATCTGATTTTAATGTTGGCACGCGATCAAGTGTATTTTTCTTTATAACTGCCTCGTCTTTGCTTCCTTAGGCTGTTTCCTCTGCTTGTTATTTATAAGCTTAATCCATGTTTCCACCGCAGTCCCAGCCAAATCTGTACTTGGGCTGGGTCCATGTAGAAGCAGTGCGTGCTTGCAAATAATGTGGTTTTTCAGCTTCCCCATTTTTTCCCACACTGCAAGCCAGTCTGAAAACTCTCAGAACTGTTTTTGACCCTCTAAATGGGGAAATCTTTTCCAAGATAATTGGATTTTAATATCTCTGAAAATAATTCTTAACTCATGAGTACAGTTTCCAAACTTACTGACAATTGATCCAAGAAACCAGAAAAAAAATAGGATCTTAATTATGAGGAATATGGAGGAAAATAATTTTTTATTAAAAAAAAAGAAATATAAATGAATGATTCAGCCAGGTACTTAAGAAACATGACCACAACAAAAATGAACACAAAACTTATTAAAGGGTGCTTGATTAGATACTAGAACAAATAAAAATAGCTCAGGTTCACACCCATGCTTTTTAAAGCATAACTATTCTGACACCTGGTAAAGTTAGTGGTAGCTCCCTGCTGTTTATCTGACTGGGATAACAGACTCAGATAAGCCACCTGCAAGGTTAGCAGGAAACAATTTCTCCCAAGGATATGGGGGTAGTGGTGAAATATCCCTTGATATGGGAGTAATGACTCCCTTGAAAGTCTCTCTTATTCACTGGGTGACCTTGATCTCCAAAATCACAGAGTGTAAGAAACTTCATTGTTTGAAATTGTATTGCTAAGTGTGAAGCATCCCACTCTTGCCTGAGAATCTGCCACTTTGATGAAGGGCGGCACGCTGGATTTCCAGCCCAGGTGCTGGGGCTTCAGATAAGGGGTTTTTGACACAACATTCCACATTTATCTTAACTTTGTGGTTTCCAAAGAAATGAGCCTGGGTCAGTTTCCCCTTTTACAACAGCCGGGCTTTGTTTTGAGTCCTTCAGAAACCCTTGCATTTAAATTTCACCTAACTCCACCCTTCCCCTAGTCCTTTAATATCTCTTGTCTTTGTTGTTGTTGAGACACTTCCTAATTCCTCCTGCTGTGCAGGCCCCGTCCCCTGGATGGGTTAGTAAACTTGACTTTGATGGACTACCCATTTGAAGTACTTTGTAGGGCACAAATGGTTAAAAACATTTTTAAAAACACAAAATGGTTACATTGATGCTAATTTTTCTTTGTTCTTTTCTGTTAGGTTGTTGATTAAAAAGAATCTTAACAAGTAGAAAGTGCGATTTTGTTGCTCAGTTGTCTGGTTCAGTGGGCAGTTCTGTTTGGAAATGAACCGTGATCTTCTTGCCTTATAATGTCTTCTGAAATTATTTAGAACTTTGGAAATACCATAGCCATGCGGAATATAAAATAGTAAAAGAAACTAAAGTAGCTTTTAAGTTATACACTTTAAACAAATACGAGGTGTATTATGTATCTTATTGAATCTTTACAGCAGCCCTTTAAAGCAGGCAGCGTTTGGCAGACAGAAGCGGTCCTTCATGTAAACCATGTCGGTGCACATAGCCTGAGTTCCCTCCCTCCCGTCTCCTGCCCTCCCGTTTGCCTGGGAAAACTGCAGGTGATTTAATCCACTTAAACAGCATTTTGGTGAAACATCGAATCACCCAGGTGACTCAGCCCCCCTACAGCCCAGATTCAGTGCCCTATGACTTCTGTCTTCTCCCAAAACTAAAATAATCTTTGAAAGGGAGGAGATTTCAGACCATCAGTGAGAGTCAGGAAACTATGAGGGGGCAACTGATGGCGATTGGGAGGGCTGTGTGGGGGCCCAAGGTGCCTACTTTGAAGGGGACGGAGGCGTCAGTGGCCGGTGTACCATGGTTCTTGTATCGTCAATAAATGTCTTATTTTTCATAGCACACGGCAGGATACCTTCTGGACAGCCCTCATATAATTTGTTCATTACCTGTCTTGCCCCATTAGAATGTAAGCTCCGTGAGTCAGGATCTGTGTCCACCATATTATTCACTGTAGTATCTTAACACTTGAAAAGTACCTGGCAAGTAGTAGGCACTTAATATCTGTTGAAGGAATGAATGGCTCCCAGTGAAACAGCTGTGTGATGTGGTTCAGAATGTTCATAGTTTCCACTTCAGGAAGAGACCAGTAATGTATTTGTCCTTCTATTGGTGTTGAGATCTCTTCGTTCTTGATACTATAAATTTAATCATACACCTCCTAGGTCCCATGTAACTTTGGAGAATTCTCCTGTATTGTCTTAATTTTACAGCATCAGAAATTTGTTCAGAAAGACTTACCGTTTTTACAATTTCTTTTCACCGCTTGATCTGAGGATTTTTGAAACACACAGAGCGGGTTTGGGGGCACCTGGGCCTCGGCAGTGCTCGCCGAAGAGCCAGGGTCTTGTCCCGAAACGGTTAGCGCGTGTGTAGGTGGGTTTAGAACCGTATCTGTGTCTCCTTCCCTCCCCTCTTCTTGTCCTTCTACTTACACTTTTCAGGGTGTGGATTTTCACATTTAAACTTGGGGCCAGTCTTGAATTTACCTTTTTGGAAAAGTCAGGCAGCGTGCCTAGGACCTCCAGAGTCACTGGGTCCGTGCCCTCTACAGCCTTCTGACCTGCTGCTGGAGGAGAAGAAAGAAGCAGTTTTTATTTTCATCCAGAAGACAAAAAGTTCTGGTGTGTGTGTGTATATATGTATCTCCTGATTAGGTATCAGAAAATACTGCACCCAGAACACGTCAAGTGAAATGACTTTTTTTCTTTTAATAGTTTTCATTTTCAGTTAGACAAATATTCATTGAACACACACTACCTGCCTGTCCCTGGAGTAATACAAGGGTAATAAGCTAAGACCCTTCCTGCGAGGAACTCGTAATGTCTCATAAACAGCATTTAAAAAACCCCATTTGTCCCCAGGACGTCCCCGAGGAATGCTTCTTTGTGAAGTGCAACGGAGCGCCCGTCGACTCCGGGGCCGCAGTGCAGCATGGGGCCGTGTACAGCTTGGAGCCCAGACTGCGCGGTGGGAAAGGAGGTGGGTCTGGAAGCCACCGCTTGCCCAGCTGTGGCCCTCCTGCAGTCTCGAGCTGGATGTAAAAAACTCCTGGGTCTCTGGTACCCCAGCCTTCTGGTTTTCCCTTGCAGAATCCTCTTTCTTCTTACCTGGTTTTGAAGATCTTCTCTTTTGTTCTCTTTGAGGAAGATACTCTCTGCCACTGTTCCCACCTCCTCCAGCTGGGTAGCCCTGAGGCATCCTAGGCGCTAAAGCTTTGGGGAAGATTAGATGAAGAGAGATGGTCATCAGCATTCTGTCCAATCTGCCAAGGAAAGTGTGTAAAAACAATCACATCTACTTGATCAGCATTTGGTCTCATTGTATTTCCAAGGGAGGTCCAAAGTCGCTGTGAAATACAACTGCGTTTGTCTGTTGGGGTAGGTTAAGGTGTTGGTTATGTGGACACATCTAAGGAAGGAGAAGAAACTAGACTAGCAAAGACCGAACATGAACAGTTCATAGTCTTTCTCCTGATGCACTAAAATGCAGTCCCTAAGCTTTCTCAAAATCTACAGTGATTGGGTTGGTTTTCTGAGAACTGATATCTCAGATTATAATCCTCCTGCTGTCTGCAGTTATGTCAGTGAGAATGAAGTTTGTCCTATCAGGCAGCTTAAAATTGCCTTTCCTTTTAAACTGACTAAAATCTCACCATATACTTTTTAAAGCTCTTAACTTGGGAATCTTGTGCCTTCTGGCCTCACGTAAAGCCCTCTAGAGTAGCTCAGTGGAGCAGGTACAATAGTTCAGAAATACAAGAGAGAGCGCGAGAGGCATGGGGTTGAAGCAAGGCGATCAGTACTTTTACCCTTGCGCCCTGGGTTCCAATCTTGTGTTCATTTCCTTCATTTAAAAAAGAAAAGAGAAAGAGCTCTGACTGGTGTGGCTCAGTGGGTTGGGCGTCCTCTCGTGGACCAAAAGGTTGCCAGTTCGGTTCCTGGCCTGAGCACATGCCTGGGTTGCGGGCCAGGTCTCTGGTTGGGAGGTGTGTGAGAGGCAATCAGTAAATGTCTATCTCCCTCTCTTTCTCCCTCCCTTCTCCTCTCTCTAAAAATAAATAAAACCTTGGGGGGAAAAAAACAAAAAGAAAGCAGAGATCACCTTTAACCTTGTGACGGATTACTGTTGTCACGAGTTCGGCATTTGGCCGTCCTTGAGCCCTTTCGGACCTGCCTTCTCCACCTGTGTTTGCTCAGGTTTCGGGTCCATGCTCAGAGCACTCGGTGCTCAGATTGAGAAGACAACCAACCGAGAGGCTTGCCGAGACCTCAGTGGGAGGAGACTACGAGATGTCAACCACGAGAAAGCGTAAGATGCCATTTGTTTGTGTTTTTTTTTTTAAAGAAACAAACTTTTCTATCAGTGGTGATTATATATACGCCATGCATATCAGAAATGTAAACTTGAAATATTTGTGCTCTAATATGTGGTTATCAGATATTACCTTTTCCATAATATAATTATTTTCGGGTCTTAGTTAACTCCATTACAATATGCTGGTAGTAAGCGTGGCACCGCTCCTGAGGGAACATCACAGTGTAAGCAAGAGCACAGTCCTGGCTGCTGGTGTGCCTCAGTGGATCGAGTGCCAGCCTGCGCACCCAAAGGTCGCTGGTTCACTCCCAGTCTCGGCTCACGCCTGGGTTGCAGGCTAGGTTCCCAGTTGGGGGCGTGCAAGAGGCAGATGATCGATGTATCTCTCACACGTTCATGTTTCTCTCCCTCTTTTTCTCCCTTGCCCTCTCTCTAGAAATAAATAAAATCTTTGTTTAAAAAAAGAGTGCATTAGTTTGTTGGGGGAGTGTGTGTATGGATATGAATGTCCCTTCAGTTGCACGTCTCTCTCCCGTCCCCAGAATGGCCGAGTGGGTGAAACAACAGGCTGAGCGAGAAGCCGAGAAGGAGCAGAAGCGCCTGGAGCGGCTGCAGCGGAAGCTCGCAGAGCCCAGGCACTGCTTCGCCAACCCCGGCTACCTGCAGCAGTGCCACGAGATGGCGGAGCGCCTGGAGGACTCCGTCCTCAAAGGTGAGAATCGGAGCTCCTTGCTGCGGCTGGCCGGCACCCCCGAAGCCGGCTGTTCCAGACCCTTCCGCACTGCACGCAGAGAGCAGTTCTTCCGCTTCTTTGCATCACTGACCTCTGAGAATCTGCTGAAAGGTGCAGACCTCTCCCCTCCCTGTCGAGCACAGTACGTCTCGCAGCCTAGGGAAGAAAGACCACAGACCCACACAGCGTTTGGTGTCCTTGCCGCCTGAGTCCCGTGGGCCCCAGTTAAGACCACTGTGTGTGCTTTATGGGGGTGGGCTAAGTCGTTCGGGGGTGCCTGGCCCTCAGCACATGCGCTTTCAGTGTTAGGTCGGTTTTCTCAACGGTTTTAAATAAGAGTGGTTGTCACGAACGTTCATTAGAGTCCGGAGCGTTATGCTGGGTCTGTTGCAGGTACAGCTGAATGAGAAGGACTCTTTTCCATCACAAAGGTTACAGCGCCACAAGGGAGCGAGTAACGAGCACGGGGAGATGAAGCCCTGTGCTTGGGGAGGGCTGGGTTTGAACCGGCAGCCCCGAGGTTTACAAACCGGACACCGGTGCCTACCGTTCTGGCTCCGGAGCCAGAGTGCTTCTAACTTCAAATCTGTAGATTTGAGAGTCATCTCATTTTAGCCGTATTAAATTTTGATACCTTCAGAAATTTGAATTTAGAGCTTTAGATTGCAGCTGTTTTGCAATCCGGATTACTTATAATTTCTCTAATTAGACTTAGTCCTGACAGTAGGTGTGAGTTGTTGAAATCTCTGGCTAGGTATGCAGGCCGCCTCCAGCAAGGTGGTATCGGCAGAACTCGGCGAGACTCGGAAGCGGCCCAACAAATCAGAGACAGACAGAGGATGCAGCGCCGCCAAAAGGACGTGCTTTTGGTAAGTGTGTCCCTTTTCGTTCCAAATGGGTCCTTGGGGACTGGCAGGGTGTGTCCTTCTTGCCTCGGCGGCACAAACGCGTCTCTCGGTGATGCCTGACGGGCGCCCAGGACTTTCCTGGGAGCTTCGGCCTTCGGAGCCAGGACTGCCACCCTGCACACGCCGGTAACGGTTTCCGCTGCGGGTGCCGTTAGCAGAGCCTGAAGCACAGTATTTGTCCTTACCGTGAAAGATCACAAAAACTGCTTTATCCTTGAGTCACTACTTGGTGTCAAAAGAGTTAACTTTCAGAAATCCCCGGTGGAGATACCGGGGCTGTACCTTCCAGGCGGTTCTGCTTTTTCTGGGGTTTTCCCAGTCATGACTGAGGTCTGCGGCCACTTTGCCAGGCCCTCCGCACCGCCTGGGCACTCGGGGGCCTGAAGCACAGCAGCACCTGATCTTACCTGTTCTTCTGGTAGCTCTCCCGCCCTTCCCGCTGGCCCTCTGGTCACCAGCCTGGCTCCCTCGGGCCACGTTCTGGATAAGTCCACATGGGTCTTGCTTCCTCGTGGGCTTCCCCTTTGAGGATAGAAAGATAATTATTAGCCAAAGATCACCCTAAACGTTTCCCACGTGCCCCTTTGCAGTTAGTTCCCTCCCCCGGCAACCACTGATTGCAGGTACAGTGTTTGTTCCTGTGGTTTGTCTGTTCCGGAGTGGCCCGTAGCCTCTGTGTCTGGCTTCTTCCACTTACAGAGTGCTTTTGGGCTCCGTCGGCGGGATTACGTGTGTCAGTAATTCATTCCTTTTGTTGCAAGTACTACTGCTGCACAGTGGGGCTGTACCGCAGCTGTTTATCCATTTCCAGTTGAATGTTACCTAACAGTGGAAATCCATGCAGTGTAGGGGGAAAGGCTTTAAATAAAACCTGTGTCGTTCTATGAGAGTCACAACTTAAAAAAGGAGATCCTCTTGGGTCCTTGGAGTGGTTGGTTCCGGTGCTGAATTTTTTTTCTTCTCTTTATGCTTCTGGGGTATCTTTTTCTGAAACTTACCTGCTCTCTGTCTCAAGCCAGCTGATACTTTCATGCGGTCAGAGTCTGATTCCTGACCAGATCGCAGCCCCTCTGTAAGGAGAAGCTGTGAACAGCACTGACCCGTCCTGTCGTGTCTGGCAGGTTGGGCACCGATGGCCTGGAGGCGGCCGAGGGATCCGGCTCCGGGAGCTCAGATGATGACAGTGAAGAGGCACCTGGCACTTCAGGAATGAGCTTTCCGGTTCCAGAAAATGGCAGTGGCGGCGTTGCGACGGCCGCTGAGTTTCCCAGCAGCAGTTCTCAGAAGGCAGGAGTACTGGGTGCAGGCTGCAGCTCGCTGGGAAAGCCGCAGGGCCCCTCGGCTGCCCTGAGGAGTGGAGCTGCAGAGGGCAGGCATGCTCAGCCGGGATCGGCGCCTGCGGAGCTGCGTGCAGAAGGGAAGGCGGAGACACAAACGGAGAAAACCCAGGGGGAAGCGGGGGCAGACAGCGGAGGACCCGCGGACGAGCAGGCAGCTGGGACTGGACTGCGTGCAGAGAGAGAGACGGAGGACGCAGCCCAGGGGGAGCCCGCTGCCCAGGCCGCACCCGCAGAGGAGAGGGGGCACGTGCCCCTGGCCCAGCTGGAGGAACGCCAGTCGGGGAGCACGGTACGTCGTTTTGGGGGCCGCCGTCTAACGTGGCGAAATCAGTTTAGTCTCCACAGTAAGTCATGAGAATGTGCTTCCCCCATCAGCTGCTTAGTGGGAAGGAAGCTCGTTTACCAGTCAGCAGTGGAGAGCAGATCGAGGATGGGTAAGCTCGCCTTGACCCCTCAAAATCCTTCGACTTTTTTTTAGCTCCAGAATTTACATATTTTTGCCACTAGGTGGTGTCCTTTCATGAATTCTAAGGTGTGTTTTCAGTTTTTAATCTCTGAATTTGGATGTGTATCACATTAGAGCGTAATTGTATTATTTATCCCTTCTTAGTAATACAGACAACAGTAAGGCATATTAAGGTAGGTGGTGCTTTAGACCTGGTGAAATGTGCTCGTTTTCATGTCGTGAGACTGGTTACTCAGTGTTGCTCTTTCCTGGGACAGTATTTGAACGTGCCCATCCGCTGGCTGTGACGATGGTCACTGTAGAAGAGGAGCAGCTCGACTTTAATTTACCAGTGAGCCTTTACGTCCCACACTTAGCCTTGTAAACATTTATTTTCACTGGGCGCATTCTCCCTCTAATAGTCGGTTATTTGCTGCCTTCAATGGACTGACTTCCAGGAAAAAAATCTTGGATGTTTTAATGATTTACTTTTCACAGCAGATAAAACTTGAACGACTTGGCGTCCTTTAATGGACGCGAAGCCTGTTACTTGTTTGACCAGCACCTTCCCGGCCCCCAGGAAAGAGGCAGAGACGCACAGGTGGCCTCTTCTCGGGAGGGCGATGGGGTTTTCTGTGTCAGGGGTGGGCAGTCGACCGTCACGTCCTCCCTGGAGTTGTGACGTGTCACTTTTACGTTCCTTGTATACATTAGGGGCTTTATCCTGACCAGAGTCTTAAGGAAAATGAATAAAGGAAGATGAAGTAAAACCTGATTGGGCTTTCAGCCCCGGAGCCTTCAACCGCGGAACATTTTGTTGTTGGCCTTGCAGCCGTAGCTCTGGTGTTCAGAGCAACCGGGAGTGACTCTCCAAAGAGTCTTGAGTGGTGGTCTGGGATTTGGCCGCAAATAGTGAAGCCAAGCAAGGTTCTCTCCAGAAATCTAAGAAAGTGGCTTTGAAAAAAAATTAAACAGGAAGATAAAAAGTCTGTCCCTAGCTCTCCTCAATGTCTTAAAAATAATAAGTTACTGTGTGAAAGTGCACCCTAAAAACCCTCGAATGTGCATGTGTTCGCCTGCCGGTCGCAGGCCGTCCGTCCGTCAGCGACGGTGTTAGTCTGTCCCCCAGTCGGGGGGGCTCCGGGTTGGGGGGACGGCTGCAGGCCTGGTGGACAGCATTTGCACTCGCTGTGTCTCTGAGTGGGGACGTGGACAACCGGCCGTAGTTACTCAGTCAGAATAGAAAACGTGAGGAGCGTGGGATTCTAGAGTCACAGGCCCGGGAACCTCGTTAACGTGGAGCTTTATTGGGGGCTGCTCTTCCCTGTGGCCGCGGTGTGGGGGTGGTCAGGTGTGGCGCTGTTTTAGTTCTCATTGGGGAAGCCAGAAAAGAATGTCCTGGAACCGTTTGTGTAATATTAAGGCTCTTAAATGTAGGACTCCTGTAACTTCTGTTCCTGTTCTGAAGGGTTATTGTGCGTCTTCAGAATGTCTGTGGAAAAGCATTTAGATGATTATTAAAATGCAATAGTGAGAGAAGGCAAAATAGCGGAAAATTCCTTGAGAAATAGAATGTAGCTGGCAGTTAAAGCCTTATTCAGAGAAAGAAAAAGAAGCCTGTTTTAAATACATTTTTTTTTTCCTTCTTTTTTCTTTTGTCCCCTTCTCAGGCCGTTGAACAGGAATCTCTGGATCTGCTGGCCTTCACCTCTGCCGCAGAGATGGAGTCGCTGGGCCTGGAGAAGCTCAAGGGCGCGCTGTCGGCCCTGGGGCTGAAGTGTGGGGGCACCCTCCAGGAGCGGGCGGCGCGGCTCTTCTCCGTGCGGGGCCTGGCGCGGGAGCAGATCGACCCGGCTCTGTTTGCCAAGCCGTCGAAGGGGCGGAAGAAATGAACTCCATCCGAGCTGGTCTCCCAGTTCCTTCCAGTCCGGCCTTCACAGCCTGCGTGATGTTGACTCTTGGCCGTTATTCCTGCTGATAGTCAAGCTGATCTTTTTCCTTTTTTTGGAGAATTTTTGTGAGTTTGAGTCAAACTGAAGATCTAGGCCAGGGAGCAAGAACGCAAATGCTCCCGAAGCTGACTTTTTAATAACCCAGTTCTGACTACGCTCTTTCCCATTATTACATTTACGGAATTCACGTGTGAAACCACCCAGGCCTGATGTTTTTGTGGGAACGTTTTTTAATAACAAACTTAATTTAATAAACTTAAAGCTGTTGAGATTTTTCGTTTCACCTTGTGTCATTAGGTAAGTTGCATTTTCAAGGAATTTATGCAGTTGACCCAGGCTGCAGACTCGGGGACGCGTGTAGAGCCGCGGTGGTGACTCCGAGGGGGAGGGAGACTGGTGGTTCCCGTCACGGCACCAGCAGGGTGTCCGTGTGCGTGCAGGTGTGGTTCTCACACGGAAAAGAGCCAGTCGGTGGAAGGTCTCGGGCAGAGTGGGGCAGCAGGTAGTCATTTCAGAAATTGCATGGCTATTCAAGGAGATCACAGGGCTTAAAGTCTTAGAGAAAGAAAAACATTTTCTGGGATGCCGCAATTTGCCAGCTGTGGGTTGCAGCAGGTGGGACTTTGTAAGAGTGAGTAAAATACACAGGCTCAAATTGGGCTTAATCTGTCATGGCGGCACGGACGTGGCGTTTGATCCTAGATGTCTGCGGGAAAGAGCTGTTTCAAAAAAGAAGTGTATTTATTTTATCTTCACCCGAGATGCAGATACACACATACACACACACATATTTATATTTTTTAGATTGATTTCAGAGAGAGAGGAAGGGAAGGAGAGAAGCATTGATGTGAGAAACATCGGTCAGTGGCCACCTATATACATACTGACCAGGGATTGGACCTGCAACCCAGGCATGTGTCCAGACCGTGCCTAGAACCCGCAACTTTTTGGTGTATATGGGCGACACTCAACCAACGGAGCCACCTGGCCAGGGCTATTTTTTTATTTTTATTTTTTTAAAGATTTTATTTATTTATTTTTAGAGAGGGAAAGGAGGGAGATAGGGAGAGAGAAACATCAGTGTGCGGTTGCTGGGGGTCATGGCCTGCAACCCAGGCATGTGCCCTGACTGGGAATCAAACCTGGGACACTTTGGTTCCCAGCCTGTGCTCAATCCACTGAGCTACGCCAGCCAGGGCTAAATTATTATTATTATTATTTTTTAAAGATTTTATTTATTTTTAGAGAGGGAAGGGAGGGAGCGAGAGAAACATCAATGTGCGGTTGCTGGGGGTCATGGCCCGCAACCCAGGCATGTACCCTGACTGGGAATTGAACCTTCGACACTTTGGTTCGCAGCCCACGCTCAATCCACTGAGCTACGCCAGCCAGGGCCTTAAATTATTATTATTAATCTTTCAGTAATATTTTGGACGCTTGCCTTGTTTCATGATGATAGAAACAGCCGTATGGAGACGCTGCTCTCTGTTTTTCATGGTTTCCATTTATTTTTAATTGTATGCCAACTCTCCTCCCCTCTTTTGTTGTTTTTGTTTGTTTTTTGTTTTTTTTTTGGTCCAACTATCATTCTGTAGCATGGTCTGGCCAATCCTTCCGTTGTTTTTATTTTTTGTCTTCTGCTGGTATTCTTAGGGAGATTTCTTTTTAAATGAAGAGTACCTGGGCGGTACGCCTTCTGAACGCTCTCGGGGCTGGCTGGGGCCAGCTAGGGCTATCTTCTGTTTTTCTTTTGTAGGGACACACACATTTCCTGTGATTCTTCACATTAGGTCCTTTACAGTTATTCCTTAAGTGTGTCCGCATGTGCGTGAGTTTAGGCCTTCCAGGATGGGATTAGATGTACAAGGATTCATTAGGGCCAGTGCAGAGGATGGGAGGAGTCTGCACGAGCAGGATGGACACCCATGGACACCCACGGGAGGACAGGGAAGAGAGGACTGTGCAGGGAGACTCTCAGGCTGCAGTGGAGTCACAGGGAAGTTTCAACAAGGTGGATGGAAGGTCCCCGGACCTGTCATCCATTGGAGTCCGGCAGCTCACGGGAGTGGGCCTGCCTTAGGACCCCTACCGTGCTCATTGGCTGGAAAGTATGGCCCGGGTGAGCACTGAGTGGCCCCAGAGGGGCCACGGGTGGGACTGTCAGTCAACTGTGGTCCCCATGGTAGGGGATCTGAAGGGTGTGTGTTCATGGCTGCCACAGGATGCTTCTCTGTTGCCCAGGATTAGTGTTCTAGTTTGGGTACTTGAGAACAGTTTTCTCCAGGTGACGGGGCTATCTGTGCGCATCTTAAGAAGCACACTTGGAGGGGAAGGGGAATGATTAGATGGAGAGCAGGTTTACCTTGCGTAATCAGAGGTGGTTTTCACTGGCGGGAGGTGTGCGCCCAAGGCGCTTCTCTGTCGAGGCAGTGAGCTGCTGGCCGGGCTGGTGCCCCCTTCCTAACTGGCACCGTTAGCCCCTGCAGCTCGCCAGCCCCAGCCGTGCCCCGCGACGCTCAGCTCCCCACGGGCAAACGCACTTTGACTGTCAAAGTGGAAAGACTGTGACGCTGAAGCGGCCCCTTTCTTGTGACACGAAAGGCGGGAAGTGAGGAGGCTCACACTGAACACGGACCGGCCGTCTCGTCGTCCTCACGTGTGACCGCAGCCGGTCCAGCCCTTGCGGTCTGCGTGCAGGGGTGTTACTGGGCTTCTGCTGGGGGTCCGCTTCCCTTACTGACCCCTCTGAGGTGGCAGCCTTGCTCCATCCCTGGTTTCCGGTGCTAACACAGAGCCTCCTCCTTACGTTTCTTTGGTCACTTCAATGGACGTTGGCAAGAGAGTTAAATCGATGTGCTCGGATTTCCACATTGAACCGCAGCCTGTTGGGGGGCTCTCAAGGTTGAAAGTGCCCCCCCAGAAAGTCCAGGAACTGAACCCCTGGTATTAACAGTTCTGGGCAGGTTCTGGTAAAGGTTAGGGAGGTGCTGCCCGTCAGACTCCACGGCACTACTCCTGTGCTCCCAACTGGGGACCTGGCCTGCAACCCAGGCATGTGCCCTGACTGGGAATCGAACCGGCAACCCTTTGGTTTGCAGTCTGGAGCTCAATCCACTGAGCCACACCAGGCAGGGCAAGGCTATCTTTTTCCATACTACCAATTTCCATACTGTTTATTTTCTTTGCTTATGAAATGTGCCTCTCCCCACTGGAGGATAATCTACATCTGGGCGTAGATTGTTGTCTCCTTTCTTAGTGCCTGGTGCTGAAAAGGTGCTCGACAAATACTTATTGAATGGAGACATGGACCACTGTACTAATACGATGCATTTTAGAAAACAGAATTCCGGGTTTATTCACCACCCCTCAGCAGCTCACACAGCATGTCCCCTGGGATGTGTAGACCTACTTAAAACTTTTGCTTGTAGACATGGTTGTTGGGGAAAATGATTAGAACTGAATATTTTACCAAAATAAAATCTGAGCCCCGGCTGCTGTGGCTCAGTGGATTGAGCACTGGCCTGTGAACCAAAGGGTTGCTGGTTCAATTCCCAGTCAGGGCACACGCCTGGGTTGCAGGCCAGGTCTCCAGTAGGGGATGCGTAAGCGGCAACCACACACTGATGTTTCTCTCCTGCTCTTTCTCTTTCCCTTCCCTCTGTCTAAAATAAAGAAGATCTTTAAAAAAATCTTGCTTTTAAAAAAATCTGAGAGCTATTGAAGTGAAGGCTCGAATGGCAATTCTATAGAAAGAGATTCTTTAGCTGCTCTCCTGCCAACCATCAAAAAAACTACCAGTTTCTGGGAGGGAGAAAGACTCCGCCTGCTGCCAGTAGAGGGCGCTGGGCACTAACGAAGGCGCAGAAGCCAAGCAGGCTGGGCAACTACTCAGAGGGTGGGAGGGGGTCACTGGGCCCCTAAGAGCTGAGTGATGTCCCTCGAGGGCCTCCCCCACCTACCCCCCCCCAAACACAGTAAGTGGCAGACAGATGGTTAGGTCTGAATTTGACCGGGTTCTGTCTTTTCTGACTCTTGAATTCTCACATTTCACTCTGGCTTTCCATCTACCGGACATGAATAAATCATTTACAGGCTGGCTGAATATCCCGGTAAATGAGTGCTTCTCAACTGACAACTCTTTTCTGATCCTTCCCTATTGTTTCCTGCTGGAGGGATCCGGGTCTCCCCGAGACGGGGCCTGATGCTGGGCGTCGGCAGCCTGACACCACCTGGGCCTGGAGACTCCTAGTGGCTGTACACGTGGGCGTTTAAACCTTGTTGAAAAAGTGCTATCTATCGCTCTGAATACAAAAGGATGCACGACAGTTCTGAAAATTCAAAGATTCTCAGTGCCACGCTAGCACAGCTTTCCTTGGAGTGCTTTCTAGTTACCCCATTTTGTATCCTGGGATTATCATTTGTTATTAGGTCACAAACACGGCGACCTCTTCTTCCTCTGCTTCCTCCCAGCCCATGCCATCGCCCAGTCCTAGTGACCTGGGTGGCAGATCTGCCCATGGCCACAGCCCCTGGACAGGCCATGGAGTGTTGTGGCCTTTGACGGTCCCCTGCTTCCCCTCTGGGCCCCAGCCCGCTGTCCGCCCCCCACACAGCAGGCACGGTTGTCTTGGAAACACTGTTTATTGTGGCAAAATCATATAAAGTGTACTACTGGAACCATTTTTACCTGTCCGTGTGGTGGCGTTACGTACGTCCACGTGGGTGTGTGCCCATGACCACCGTCCACCTCCAGAACCTTCTCCCTTTCCCAGGCTGAAGCTCTGCCCCTGTGGACCACTAACTCCCTGTCTCCTCCCTGCCCCCAGCACCCACCACTCCACTTCCTGTCTGTAACTTTGACCACTCTGGTCAAACCTCACACTACTTGTCCTCTTGACACCCGCTTCTTTAACTTCGGCACTGTGTCTTTAAGACTCACCATGCGGCAGCAGTGTGTGTCAGAATGTCCATCTGTCTGTCTGAAGGCTGAATAATTCTCCTTGTGTGTGGGCCCCCCTTTTTGTTTCCCCACTAGGCCTGCCTTTTCCAATGCAAATCAGGTCACGTCTTTTTTCTGTCCGACACCCCTTTTCACGGCTCCCCGAGCCAGAGCCCCTCTGCCACCCAGGACCCCCTCCTCCGGCCCCTGCCCCTCGCCCTCTGTGCACCACCCACACCGACGGCTCCCTGATCCAGGCCACTCCAGGCCCTTTCTCAGCCCCCCACGCGAGGCTCCCTCCGCCGGGCGCCGCCTTCCCCGCTCCCTTTCCA